CCAAGCTGACGTTGTGGGCACTGCTTAGAGCTTTGACATTGGCCAGCAACTTAATTACTGCAAGTCCCAGTTTCCTTACTTCTAAATTGAGGATAACAAAGACTATATATTTTGACTTCTATGAGAACTAAATAAGAACATGTGTGTAAAACAGAGTGAGGATATGATCCTAGTTAGTGTTCAGTAATATTCATTCATCCATTCAACACAAGTGGCCACTGTCTGTCTTTCCTTTTTTGGACCATCTGGGTCACACTTCATATGAAATCTTTTTAAGCCAATACCAGAAAAGCAGCCTTCCTTGCAAATCACTGGCCTCTGAATCTCTTGGACATGACTAGAAATTGTTTTCCAGGCAGGGAGGGTCCCTTTCTTCCCCATTTCCCTCCTGCCCAGCGTTTTTTTTTTTTTTTTTTTTTTTTTTTTTTTTTTTTTTTTTTTTTTTTTTTTGGTTTTTCTCCGGTACCGGGAACCGAACTCACGACCTTGCGCTTGCCAGGCAGGCGCCTTTGCCGCTGAGCTAAATCCCCAGCCCCCTGCCCAGCGTTTTAATTTGCCTGAACACTGTAAGTTGTCATCTTTAAATCAGACTCCAACTTACATGATAAGAATCACAGTTAATTAGGCTGCCTGTTAAAGTGTAATCTTGCATTTCAGTGATCTCTTCACTCTGAGACTTCAGCTAAGGCCATGAGCAATAAAGCTGTAATGTCTGCTTATGCTTAGTAAGATCTTCGCCTGCTGTTTGTTTTGTATGCCAGTCTGTTGTCTAAAAAAAAATTTAAATGGGCAGAGAATCTCACATCCCTGTCATTTGTTTTTAAGCCGCACAATAGAAGAGATAAGTGGGAGAAGATAAGCTTCAGATATTTAAGACTAATTAGTTTAGGGTATCTGAGAAGATTTGCAGACTTCTTTTTCTTTTAAAGATAATAAAATAAAATGATACAGAATTTCAAAACAATGATAGGAAATTAACAATGCTTATTATATTGCATATTGATATCTTCAAAGTTGTTGCTTAGATTACCAGATATAGGTTTGTAAGATTGATCAACCAATACAAACACTAACTTCCTTTCAGTGAACTAATAGAAATTAGTAGTACACTTATCTTAGCTATCATATCTATGTACACACACGCACATACCCTTTAGATCTGTTGGCAGTTCTATTAATAAATTCCCTTCCACTAGTTATCTCTAAAAATAATGGAGTGATGGCTAAAGGTTTACTTTCATATCTATTCTTTTTATTCCCATTCTCAGTAGCCCATACTCTTCCTGCCTTTCAAAAAAAGTTCTTGTTTCTGCCAAGTTTAATCAACTTGTTATTCAATCATTCCACCTTTTTTCTTCACGTTCAGAGAGCTGAATTTGAGTAGCTCATATTGTAGTCCTTATTAGGGAAGAATGTGATAAATGAAAAGTAATAAGGTATTTGGGTTGACCTCTTAAAAGATAGTATTGTTTGTAGCAATAAAGGCACGACATTAATGTCTACTCTCTCAAATACGCGTCTAGCTCACCACCTTTAAAAAGTATTGAGAAGATGCTTGATATTTTTTATTGCAAATTTGCCATTGTGATTTTTTTCAAAAATCTGTTAATAAATATTATAGCAATAATTCTACCATTAATATCATTTGTGTTTTCTACTTACTAGGTGCTATGCCTACCATGCTTATTTATATTATTCACTTAATCCTTATTTCTTCATGTAATTATTTCCATTTTACAAATGAAAAATTGAGGTCCAGGTTAGATAACTTGTCCAAGAATACATGTTCAAGAACTCAGGACTCTGGCTTTATGTTTGTTCTTCTGGTCATTCCTGTGCTACTAATAAGTATGTATCATAATTAAGGAATCTATAGTTTGTTTTTTGCTTTGTTTTTGTCTCTTAGCATGTTTCCTCTTAGCTGTAGAGCACAGGCCAGTGTTGATTGGGGTAGAGCCCACAGAATTCAAGAAGTTTAAGTTCAAGGTCCTAAACTTTAGAGGTATAAAGCATAAGGTTTTTTTAAAGAAAAAAATTGGAACTTTTGCTTACCAGAATGTACATACATTTTTCTTTTAAAGTCGTGAGAAGGATTGTTTCTGACAGAAAGTTTGATATCCTGGTTTAATGTTTATCCACATTTGCACACACATCTTCTCGGGTATATTTGGTGTTACGTTTTGGAGGTAAGTGGCGGTTTTTCACACACTTTCAAGCTGTTTCCATCAATAATGAAATACTCAGCTTTGGCCTTCTCTGGCGTCCTGGTGTTTCAGCTTAAACTTTCCACTTGGCCCTGCCAAGCACTGACTTTGAAATACCTTTGTTTTACGGAGAACGCCTCCAAAAGGTGCAGCTGTGTGCTGGTTTCATCTTGCACTGTGCAGTGGTGTTGGCAGCACTCGCTGCAGAGGATGCCACTGTCTCCCGCACGCCGCTGGTGCCCCGGGACTGTCGAGGCCTGTCCGTGGCGGTTGTCTGGGGAGGGCTTCATTTGGAGAAGAGGCTGGCTCTCGCTCTGTGTGATTGGCTGCCACCCAGGAAGGAAGGGAACAGAATGAGTGGAAAAGGCAGCCTTTCATGTGTCATCAAAAATTCTTTCTACAGGAAGGTTGGGACACCTGGTTCCATGGTGTCCTTGTCAGTACTGAAGAGGACTAATTCCTCCTTTCTCTTGAAATAATGTGTGTCTTGGATTTGCCACTTTTAGACCTTTTGGCTGTTCTTTCTTCATTTCTTTTCTTGTGCAATACTAATTTCTTTTGACAAAAAATGATTCAGCTAAGTGAAAAATGGAAGTTGGGCTGTAGTAGTGTAAACTTTGTAGAGTTCTCCTGGATTCTTAAGAGTGGACTTGGTTCTCCGCACTTAGGGTGCTATGGCAGTCTTCAAGACCAACATGCATTCCTTGCTGAGGCAACAAAAGATTAACATACATCCTTTATAAGAATCCCGCTCTGTTAGTTTGTGTTTGGCTTGATAGTCTTGCCTTATAATTCTATGCTTTTTGAATCAAATGAAGAGAGAAGGAAACCCTTTTGTATGTAACATTTGCCAGCCTAGTAATACATCAACATTTGGGTGCATATTTCAGTCACAATTAGATGAAATCTTTAATTATTGTTTAATTTAACTTTCATATTTGCCTGCAGAAGTGATCATGTTGATAAGATCCTGGAAGGAGATAAACATTTATTAAGCAATTTTATTTTCAGTTTTGGCATTGAAATTTTTTTTTTAATTAAAAAACATTCTTATTTATGAGGGAAAGGAAGAGCAGTGGGCATGTTAGCTGAGTATTTCGTAGGGGTTTGTGTCTGTGTATTTACTATTTAATCTTTAGCTTTTTGAGTTGGGGTTGAGAGGACTAAGGAGAGACGCTGTAGTGAATGCTAATGAGTAAAATAAGTCTCTACCTTTTTCTATCTGTAAATTTTCCTTCCTTTGCATATACTGATTGGGTAATATCCATTTTGTTCAGTATAGAAGGTATTGATAGAAGATATTTTCATGGGCTAAAAAACATTCTGAGGCCTAGAGAAGTGGTTTACATTTTGCCAGAGGAAATGAAAGAGTATGCTTTTTCATTCTATACTATTTCTTTTTAAATTTTACAATCCTTTTGATTAAAGATTATGAAATTGTAAAGACGTGTATATATTGTATGGCTTTCAGATACTTTAATAGTTTCTAACATTTAGAGACTTAGAGATGTCATTGCTGGATGTTTTCGGGGGAATCACCAAAGAAAATCTATCTCGTGCTATGGAATTTGCCTCCATAATTTAGCTCTTCTCCTTTTATCCTGGGTAGTTGTGGGGGTTAACCACATGTGTCCATCTATCACAGGGCATATTGCAATCTCTAGAGTCTTAGACTAGAGGGCATAAGATTTGCAAAATGAATTAAGTTATTCATAGTTCTCTGAGGTCAGAATTTAATAGTACAGCTTTACTTTTGCATCTTGAACCTGTTGTTGTGTGTTGACTCTTAGCACTTGAAATATGGATGTAATTAGAAATTTGTCTAACATGGTATATGGCTTATAATAAAGAATTATACCATTAAACTCTTAGTGAAATAAGGTTGCAACTATATTAAATATATTTAGCTCCCTCTTCTGGCATATTTTGAGAAAAATATTTTTACTTAAACTTCTTTTGGGGAGCAGGAATATAGTTGTCAATTGTCATATCAAAGGAAATGGTTTGTAAATACCATCCGGTTAGATTTCTTTCTGTATCATTACAATTGGTAAAAACATACAAATAAAGCATGGAAACACAACTTACAAAAGCCTTGCATTTCTTAATCTACTGTCCAAAATATGCATAAGCAAGTAAAGGGTTCACTGGCAATTACACAGAGACTTAATTTGATGTCCGGTGGGCAGCCGCCCCTGGCCTTTGTATGACCAGAGTACAAAAGGAGGGCGAGTACCCCAAACCTAAATAAGTTAGCGATGCATCATGTCAACAAACTCTTCAGTAAAATCTGTTCTGTGCTTTCTTCTCACTGGGCAGTGGCATTTTCCTAATCCCAGAAGGCCAGATCTGAGCTTGTATTTCTTGGGCTCCTTGGGGTGCTGCCCCAGAGCATGGTGAACAGGGAGGTTGGCCCTACTCACCTGTGACTTCCAATCTGCATCCCCAGACTCCAGTCCCACTCGATCCCCTCCTGTCCAGGTTTAGCCCACCGCTGGGGTACAGGGTATACGCAGATAAGGAAGTCTGTACGGGAGAGAGGCCATAGGAGTCCCCGTGGCAAGGAGATATGGGATTCTGGGTAGGCACACTGAGTATATCCTACAGGAAAGGGAGCAGGCATGTTCCCTTGGCCCAAGAACATGCAACCCAGTATAGGAGTCCTTCTTGTTCAGTTCTTGTCTTTACCACTGTGAGATGTAATTAAATTATTTTGTATTGGAATATTCTTGATTGTGGTCCATTGCATTTGACTCCCCCACATGAAATGTAATGTAGCATTTTGTTTGTTTGCAGCTTTGACCCTTCCAGATCTGGCAGAGCAATTTGCACCTCCTGACATTGCCCCGCCTCTCCTTGTCAAGCTGGTGGAAGCCATTGAAAAGAAAGGTAACCAGACTGCTAAAGGGAGTCAGTTTATTATTAGACCCTTCTCTCATGGCTGTTATAATTTGTGCATATCTCTGGCACATTCATTAAATAAATTTCTTACTCCCTGCTGTGTGCAGGTACCGGGCTAGACACACCAGATATTTGGGTTTCTGTACTAGGGAAATAATCCCAGCCTGTGATTTCTAAGTCAAGATTAACATGCTGTTACTGTATGGAAACTATTAACTCCTCCGTCATTTAATAAATATGATTAACTTGCTTCTTAGCAGCCAGCTGGTTCTGCCAAAATTATTGACATGCCAGATAGGATTAATAGTAGGAGTTGACTTCCAAGAATATTCAGTACACCTCTAGAACAGATACTGATGGAAACTGGAGTGTCTCCTGGCAGCAGGTGCCTGGACTCTCCAGAGAGCTGTGTCTTGCATTCACAATCTGTTTTGTGTCCTAGGTCTGGAATGTGCAACTCTATACAGGACACAGAGCTCCAGCAACCCTGCAGAATTACGGCAGCTTCTTGACTGTGGTGAGTGTAACAGAGCTGCAGATACAGATGGGAAAGATAGGTCTCGCCTTTCTATTTCTGCTTGGACACATACAAAAATTATCCAGTCCATACAGCACTCTAAGTTTCAAGGGAGCCCAGAAATCGGGCACAGTTCCCTCAGCCCTGTTAAAAGTGCAACCCGTGTAGACCTTTGATGTTTGACTCCCCAGTGAAAGCTATGGGCTCTTGAGCCATTACCACAGGCAGGAGCCCCTAGGGTCCGCAGGGGCTGCAGGAGAGAGAAGCTCTTGGGATCTGTCTGGCTCTGTGGGTCCGCCATCTTCCCTTGACTCTGCTGTTGACCCATCAAATTCATCTGGATCAGCTAAAACATATTTAAAAGCCCGTGTCCTCTTACAGAGTCTCTCTTTCTTTCATTACCTTTCCCTTTTTCCTTTTCCCATCCATCTGGTTGACTTGCTTCCTTTCTTCCTTGCTTTTCCATGTTGTATCTACATCAAGTAATACGACAATATTGATTTATTTTATGGTAGGCTGGTAAACCAGCTCTCTGGAAAGAAGCAGCCCTGGTTTGTAGCATTTGCTCATTGCAGTGCTGTAAAGTGTCAGAATCCCCACTGAGGTGATCTTGAGCAAACCAACAGAAGGCCCTGCCTGGGGAGTTGAGAACTGGACACAATCCCAGCACTCAGGAGGCTGAGGCAGGAGGATTGTTGCAAGTTCGAGACCAGCCAGGGCTACAAAATGAGCACAAGTCCAGCCTGAACTGCTTATTGAGACCCTGTCTCAAAAGACAAAAAAAAAAAAAAAAAAGAACTGACGACATTGGCTCCTGTGACTGCTATAGGCCAGCGCCAGCACACCACTGGTTAAGTGACACTAATTAACTCAGCCAAGTGGGAGCTTTATACGGTAGTCCCTTCACCCCACCTTTGCCATATACAAACAAAAATTAAAACTCTGCACAAATCCATTTATTTGTCATCATTCCAGCAAATCATCATCACCTGTCAACTTCTAGAATCTCTCCAACCCTTCATTCCTTCATAGTACTTTTTTGTTTGTTTCCAGTTGTGGCATTTTCTGCCTCACACCATTTTAACTGAATTTGGATGTTTGAATCAAAGCGTAAACCCCACTTCTGGAAGAAGCTCCTTCAGAGGTATAGTTGCCCAGACATGGCCACACAGTATAGTAAATGAGAATCTGAGGTCTGAGGCAGCTTTAGAATGAGGCAACTTAGGAAAACTTCTGGAAAAGATGCTTCTTGAAGAAAAGAATATGACCAGATCTTTATCAGAAACCTCTTTCCCTTGAAGTGTACTGTCCAAAGGTTTTGAAACTTAAATTCTTTTTTGAACTTGATTTTCCCACAGTCCATGAGGAGCAGCCTCACACACACGGGGCATATCATCTTTGCAGTGGTCTGTCCTGTGCTCCAAGCAGGATAGGTCGTTAGAAAGCTCAAGGTGAAAGGTTTATTTTTTTGTATTCTAACAGCCTTGCCAGGGTATTAAGGAAATGCTGACATTTGTCCTCAGCCAATTGAAATAAAGATACATGTTTTGGTCAGAATGCTGGTCAAATTGAACCTGTTAAAAGTCACAGGAAATGTTAAGACATCAGAAACTGATGAAATGGAAGTTATTTGAGAACTTAGTGGTTAGGCTTCTAACCTGCCCCACACAAAATGATGCAGGTTAGCCAAAATAATAATTTTTTTTTTCACACCACCCGTGAGGTGAACTAAACCAAGATTCACATCACCAGTGTATTTTGACAGCCTTTCCTTCCTCACTGAACTCCTGGCATAAAGGGAGAAAACTAGTTTCATTTGAATTCTGTGTATAAAAGTCAATTTTTATGCCCCCCCCCCAAAGTAAACAGTATTCAAACTTGGGAGTGGACCTGCCAAAACTGTTTCCAGATTGAAGGTTGCTCAGTACCTATATTATACTACCACCAAAGAAACTGCAAGACAGGTCACTTACACTTGAGAAAAATACAAAGTCATGGCTTTTAAACAACCTTGTGAATTTCTGGTGTCTGCAAAGGGTAGATATGGGGGACAGAAAAACTGCACTGTTAACATTTGCTGCTTTTTATTTCATCTGCACATTAACTTTGTACAGAGTGTTGGTTATTCTAACTTCTCAGGAAAGGAAGCTGACCTTCAGGTAACTAAACAATTTTAGCGAGTAACTTAACATTTTTCAGTGGCTCAGTGTCCAAGTTTGTGTCCAAAGTGTTCTTGATACATAACTCTTTTTTCTTTTTTAAAACTATTTTGCTCTAAAATAAATTATTTCTTTCATGTCTTGTCTGAGTTTTAGTGGTATGAATTTTCTCCTGACACTCTTTGGTGTCTCCTGACCTATGGCACTCTCAGCTTCAGCACTATTAACATGTTAGGCTGAATAAATCTTTGTTAGAAGAGTAGGTGACTGTCATTGCATGGGACCGTGTTTCGCCCCATACCTAGCTCCACCTGCTAGGTGCCAGGAGCATCTTCCCCAGGTTGTGACAGTCGGGATTGCGTGTCTGCAGACATTACTGAATGTCTCCCGCTCCCAGTGCGATCCACTGACCAAGAGAGTGATTAGGCAGGGCGGGGATGCCTTCCCAGGGGCAGGAGGAGTGATACATTAGAAGGTGTACTGGTTACCCATTGGGAGTAGTTGCAGTGAAAATTGAGGAAGAAAAGAACATCAGGTCTGCCAACCCAGACTTAAAGATTATGGAGCTCCTCGGAGCCCACCCCATGGCAGCTATCAATAGCTATCAGAAGAGCCTGTCAGGCTAATTTAAATGCAGAAAGGAATATTGCACAGCAGAAGTCATAAACTCCAACGAACTTGAGAAGCTACATTACAAAAAAATAAAAATAAAACATCCTGGGTCCTCAGCTCTAGTGGAATTTGACATATGGTGAGCTTACCCAAAAACGTCTGTGAGGCTTTCATTCAGATCCCAGCTAGGTTCGTTGGGATATATGCCTGGTCACAGGGAAGAGCAGTTGTGAGTGACCTTTGCTCGTAAGGCTTTGTGGTGCATCCACAAACCTTTACCACATCTGTATGCTGAACACCGAGGGACACAGAAGGTGCAGGTAAGAGCCACAGCCCTGCTCTGAGGCACTCTGTCTGGTGGGGACACATAATCCCACAGAGTTGCCATCCTGTGTGCCAAGGTCCTCAGCAGTGCCACAGCACAGAGTGGACCCTGCATGGGAGCGGGACACAGGGATATTCAACGTATTAATGTTAAGGTATCATTGCAAGTGGCTTAGCACATTTTTTCAGGATGAGCAAATTCAGTAATGAGTTTGCTGGGCAAAGATACATTAAATGAAGCATACAAGGGTAAAGTATATGGGGGACCAGAAGCTTGCCAAATAGCCAGTGAGTGTTGGGTATTCCTATAGTGGTACCTGTGCCATTTTATTCAACAGTACTTAATTACACCAGTAACTGCACACTTTCCACATGGATCCTTTGTCCAAAGACCCAGTGTTGCCCTTCCTGCCCTTGTTAGAGATGTATATGTCTCTGGGTAATTTTTGTAGGGTATTTAAGAGGCTTAATGCTTTGTTTCTTCACCTTCACCTTAATTGTTTTCCTGCCCATACTGCATTTTAGGGTGACTTTTCTTACGACTTTGTGGTGTTGTGTGACTATATTTCATAACCTTTGCCTACTTAGTGCCCCATGTTTGGTTTATAGCAGTGATGCCGAATCTCACACAGAAGAATGCCCAGACGGCAACCGAAAACCCACTTACTTACCATGAAGTGCTAGCACTCAACTAAACCTGAACACAGGTTTTAATTTAGAAAAAGTAACTCAGACATTAACATCTTTTGTCTTAAAAGAAAAATAACACACATGCCATAGGTTTAGCACCCCTGGCTTATAGGAATGATGCTCCTGGGAAAGTTTTGTAACCTTTGTATCAATGTAGAGTAATTTATAGTAAAAGCGACCTTAGTTCCAGAGGGTCCAGGATGCTGTCTCCTCCCTACTCACTCTTGCTCAAGCACCTCGGAGTAACTTTGATACTTCCTCCTTCTCTCTTAGGCCGTTACCTAATCCAGTTGGTCACCAAGCTACATTATTTCTTGATACTGTTCATTTCTCACTGTATTAGCATTCAGACCTCATCGCTTTGTTCCTGATTACCAAAGCCAGCATCTTTGCTCCCAGCAGCGTTCACTGCAATTAATAAAGCTGTAGGAAAAATGCAGTGTGTTGCCCCCCCAGCCTACCCTTTCTCCATTGCATGCATGGGTCCCCCAGTCACTCTCCTCTTGTCACTTTCCTGTCACCAGTATGCATTCTTCAGAGCAACCAAGCGCCTCTCCTGGCTTTTAGGTGCTGGTGGTTGGTCGTTCTTGTGCCAGCATCCCCGCTCCTCCTGAGCATGGCGCCCTTTTTCATTCCGCAGACTTGGTGCTGTACGTGACGGGCGCGCAGAGTGGTTCTGATCCATATCACCTCTTTATTGACTTGCTCAACCTCTTTTCCAGCCAAGGGATTTACTGAATAGATACGTTTATCTTCTGCCATGGGCTGATGCCCACAGGTTAGATTAGTCCAACTCAGCATTAGGGGGCAACCTCCAGAAACTGTTCAAATTATTTTTATGGATATTCTTCAGATTGCATTCTCAGTCTGAAATTCTGTAGTATCTTAGCATTTAATCTAGCACTCTGTTAGGTTAAATTTACATTAGTTCTGACATGGACTATTTACCAGTTCAGGTTGAAGGAAGTCGAGAATTTGCATTGCTCATCTTTCTGTCATGGTTTTAGGAAACATTTGCCATGCACAGGACCCCTCTCAGTCAGGTGAGGCCCCCACTCCAGGGGCTTTGGGAGTGTGGCAGGATTCCACAGAGTGGGCAGCTTACAAGACAGAAATGTATCTCTCACAGCTCAAGGGCCTGGGTGTCTAAGATGAAGGCGCAGGTGCATTGCTTTCTTCGGCTTTCACAATGTGACTTCTCCCTGTGTCCTCACGTGGTCCCTCCTCTGCAGACATCTCTGGTGTCTGTGTATCTTCATCTCCTTCTTATAAAGACACCGGTCAGGTTGGAGTAGGGTAACAGCCTCATTTTAACCTAGTCAATTGTAAGGGCTGTATCTCCAAGTATAACCCCTTTCTGAGGTATTGGGGCTCTGGGCTTCAACATGTAAATTTGGGCAGGGCATCATTCACCCACAACAGTGCCATTATGTTTTGTTGCCCCAAAGTCTGGGAATATACTAGTGGCCTCATAGGCTAGGAGCTTGGCATGCTAATGCTTGCAATGTGTGGCACAGACAAAAAACTATTCTACTTGAAGTATAGGGAAAAGCCCAATGGGAAACACTCCTAGTAAATATTCCATGGCTTATGTTTGTCCTTACTTTGCTCCCTTTCCTGTGTCACACTGAAGTTCCGCCTTTGAAAATTCACCTGAGATACAAGATAAATGTCTGAAATATTTCTTAACCTGTTTCTTTCCTAGATGCTGCCTCCGTGGACTTAGAAATGGTCGATGTGCAAGTTCTAGCAGACGCTTTTAAACGCTATCTCCTGGACTTACCAAACCCTGTCATTCCAGTAAACGTTTACAGTGAAATGATTTCTTTAGTCCAAGGTCTGTTTTCTCTTCTGACAACCTCATTGAATATAATTTCAAGATGGTGAGATGCCCGTGAACCACGAAGAGCAGCATGTAAAGACCTAGGGTTTAGAAAGTACTAGTAAGCTGCCCCTCCCCCTCACTACCACCAAAAATCCTCTCCCTTATCAGCGCGTCCAATTCTTGTTTGCTTAGAAGCCTGTCCACGAGTTGAACTGGCTGATTGTTAACCTTTGCCCAGTATTGGCAAAGATCACTACGTCTGTGAAGGGCATGGTGTTCCCAGTACTCGTGTTAGATGCAGGTACCTAGGACGAGGGTCCATTGATTGGGTTGTTCTTGCACCCCCTCCCCCCAGTACCCACAATAAAATGTGTTGGGGGAGGTGAGGCTCAGTTCAGTGCTTTGGGGACAGGAAGCTGTGGTTCATAACTTTCAAAATTAGACCTGTGATACTTATCTGATGCTCCTCAGAATTAGCCAATCACACTTGAAGCTGCTCGGTAGAGGGCAGATTTTCTGCCAGCACACCCTGAACATCTTGTCGTTTTTTTACCGTGAAGAGTTTCTTGCATTTGCATTTGACTTGAGATTTTTACTTTCTCACAATGCATTCTCTAATGAGAAGGACAGATGTCCTGTGCACAGTCCTGGCGACGCTGTGACTCCCTCGGTCCCTAGAGGAAAGAACAGATGTGGTGTAGGTGTGTTCGTGCACTGAAACCTAGACTCAGTCTTATTCTTTTGTTCTTTCTTTCAACTTGCAGAAGTACAAAGCTCTGAAGAGTACATCCAGCTCTTGAAGAAGCTCATTAGGTCGCCTACCATACCTCATCAGTATTGGCTTACGCTTCAGTATTTGCTAAAGCATTTCTTCAAGCTCTCTCAATCTTCCAGCAAAAATCTTTTGAGCGCAAGAGTGCTCGCTGAAATTTTTAGCCCTATGCTTTTCAGATTCCCAGCAGCCAGGTGAGTGAAATAAGAGAAATGTGTGTTTGGGGTGCTGAAGGTCATTAAGCTGACTGGTCTGTGAACTTATTCTCAGCTTCACAGTTATGAAATTAGAATATGATTATGCAGATTAAGAATATGTATGTCCAGACTTACATTGCACACATCGCTGGATTGTGTATACATAAAAATGCGTTTGATTTTTAGGTGTCAGGTTTCTAACAAAATCCTCTCTGTTGCAGCTCTGATAGTACTGAAAACCTCATAAAAGTTATAGAAATTTTAATCTCAACTGAGTGGAATGAACGACAGCCGGCACCAGGTAAGCTTTGGAACATCTAGCATTTATTCATTCATTCATTCGTTTGTTTGCTTTTCCAGTCTTAGAAATGGTGGCTTTAGCCAAGTGCAATGATGCATGCCTGCAACCCTTACTTCTCAGAAAGCTGAGAGAGGAGGATCACAAGTTCAAGCCTAGCCTGGGCAACTTAGCAAGACCCTGTCTCAAAATAAAAAGGGCTGGGGTTGCAGCTCAGTGTAGAGCACCCCTAGGTCTGTTCCCCGGTACAATACATACATACATACATACATACATATGTACATACGTACTAGATTTAGGCTTCCTCTGAAGTAAAATAAGTTTCTGGTAGATTACAATCCTTAGCAACGTAATACCTTGGGATTTGTTTTTTTAAAAATGGAGTAGTAGTATGTACAGTAAATACTCAGATTTCAACTTAGTGGATTTTTAGTTATCTCTGCTTTAGATCAGAATTGGGGGAGCCCTCTGTACCCGTCAACTTTTAGACTAATTGTTGCAAAGTGTGTGGGATTCATTTTAGTTGTTGACATTTTTTTCTTTCTAATACTTACAGAGTAGGGGACTTGCAGTTACTGTATGCCTAAAAACATTCTGGGCTGTGTGTTTTGGAAGTGTGTGTGCTGAGCACGGCATTTCAGGATAAACACTGTCAATAACAGTCGGGGTGTGAAAATGGCCTTTACTGCAGTGAGGTGGAGCAAGCCAGACACTTATTTGAAAGCAGCCATTTAACAAAGCAGGAAGTGTAGCCCAAGTGAGCAGTGGATTACATTTAAATGATGTCTAACGACCTCACGTTGCTGCGCCTGCATTTAAAGTTAGCTAACAGAGCTTGGTTGCTCAGAATAGTGACAAAGGTCCTATAGGTAAAGTTTCAGGACCAGCGGGAGATGTAGCTTGTGGTCTGAGTCTGTGCCTACATGTAAGTGAAAGAACATGCACTTACTATTTGTGATACTAACTCCTGCAGATTGCTGTGGCTGTCCCGGTGTGAGCAGGAGCGGGGCCCAGTGGCCAGTGTCACACAGTGGAGACTTCAGCTGTGCTTTCCTGTTAGAAAGTGCAGAGCCACGTCCGGTTATTTGCGTCTGAATGGGGCAGCCTGGGAGAGGCAAGAGCCTGGGCTGAAAACCCACCTGCAGGGGTGGAGTAGATAGCAACTCAGGCTGCAGGTACTGGGAAGGGCCTCTGTTAGGGACAGTCCCCAGATACACTATGAGAAGTGAGAGACATGTCCTATTTAGTGCCAAAGGTGCCAGACCACAGCAAGCGAATGTTTAATAGCGATGCTCTGAATGGCGGGAAAACTGCATCAGAGGAAGCTGTCAGTAGGTGTGCTCAAAGGGTTTCATCGCGTGACTGCTTGGGTGATTTGGTAATGGTTTTGGGAGCGTTGTGTTGGTGTTCAGAGTCTGCCTCTGGACCCAGTAGGAGAGAGGGGAGTGTGGCACCTGGGCCCTTCCTCACTACCCACCCAGACGTGAATTGCGCGGGCTGGAAGAGGTCTAGCAAGAATAGGCAGGCCTTGCCGCGAAGAGCCGAGCCAAGGCCTTTGGCTTCCTCCTGTCCAAGGTTGAAGTCTGTTTTAGGGTTGATCTTAGCCAAAAGGCCAAAAGGCGATTGAGGAGAATTTTAGGAAGGAAGGCGAACTGGGTCCTGCCAACAGGAGAGACACACGAAGGGTCAAAGCCAGAGAGGGCTTGACAGAAACCCCCAAGTGAATGAACCGCGTGGAGCTTTCAAGAATCGGTGCTACGTAGCGTGCTGGAATTGGTGGAAGAGTTTAATTAGTCTAACTGGTAGATCAGCCTCAGCCTAATTCCAGCAAAGTAAAAATGTACCAGTACACATTTTCATAGTGTACCCTTAAACCTGCTTGATGTGTCAGAGGACCCCTACCTTCCTTTACTAAGAAACCGGTGTGGTGATTTGAAAGGAGGATTAATTCCATCAGCTCTGCTAAAGAATGAGAAAACCACCCATTGTGGTGGCATGCACTGCCTGGACCTGTAATCCCAGCACTTGGGAGGCTGAGGCAGGAGGATCTTGGTAAGTTTAGGCCAGTCTGGGCTACATAGCAAGACCCTGTCCCTAAAAAGATAAAAGAAAAACAAAGCCTTGAACATTTGTAAGATCATCCCAGTATTTGTGCTGCTTCTTGGGGGGGCAAAAAAACCCCTTAAATCCAAGTAATTTTTATAAACCTTGGCTTAAGCCTTTTTCTTCCTTTTGTGTGATATCTTAGCCACTCTGAAAACTGTATGGTCCCTTTGGAATTAAACGTTCTGCTCATTGAGAGAACATTAAACTTCCCACCTGTGGGAAGAACCGCCCTTGCCCTGAACACATCTGCCTTCAGGAAGGGCTGTAGTGCAGGTGACTGGCAGGGCGTCCTGGGGTGAAGATGGGATTTGTCAGACTCGTCAGTCCTGCTAGGAAGGCAGCACCTTTCCAGACTGCTTCATCCTCACCCCAGGGCATGCTAGGACCAGAGCGAATGGTCGTAATCAGCCGTTGGTGGTAACTGTGTGGCTGTGAATGGAAATGAGTACTTGAGTGGTATTTAACAGAGACAAAAGTAAATGCCTTTTGTGGGACAGATAGAAATCTTTTTTAGTCTTTACCAGATAGACCTTGATAAACCTGATGACATTTGAGGCAAGAATATCAATTCAAATAAGGCCTATTTGCACGTAATATCTGAGGAAATGCTGGGTGGGGATGCTCGTATTGTACAAACTGAAAGAACTTTATAGATAGGTATGCTGGTGACTTTTCAGGGTAATTGATAGAAAAGGTCATGGAAAAAAGTATGCCTTGAAGTAGACCTTGAAGAATAGGCACAGTTTGAAGAAGAAAATGAGAAATAGCATGTTGACTCATGAACTTTAAAGATTTATTCAAAATAGATTGCAAAGTATGAAAATAATGGCTTTGTTTCTCACAAAAGCAGTAAACTCAATCATGTGACAGATAAGGAGACTTTGAATAACAGACTGCATGTATGATGGTGCTTACACTGTATTCCTAGGTGTGCCCAGACCTTACCTCTAGGTTTGTGTGAGCATACTGATGCCTGTGAGCTGACCGGATTGCGTAGGGACACATTTCTCAGATCCCGCCATGTGGTGATGCGTGACTGCGTTTTTAGTGATGGTACCATCAGAAGCATTATTTCAGAGTTAAAAGCACTGCCCAGCTCTGCCATGTGGCACACAAAGAAACAGGTGCACAAAAACTGAAAGACTTACCCATGCCACCTGACAGATGTGCGCCACACTTTATCTGCAAGGAGCTGCCCCTGGATCCAGCCTGTCCTGTGTGCAGCCCCAGCAGTGTGGGCCTTGCTAAGCAGTGGGGCTGCTGTCTGGGTACCGTCAGAAAGTCCCCTGGAGTGTGCAGAATGACAGAAGCTAACAGTCTGTGAGGTGCATTCCTATGGGTCACACAGAGCCAAGAGCAAGGTGATGGCTGGGTCTTCAGGGTCAGGCTCAGCATGGCTCCATCGGGGGTGCACGGGAAAGAACACAGCTTCTCTGGGCGGTGGGCTGCTCCGTAACTACGGAGTTCTTCATCAAGCTGCTGAACTTTTCCAGACCAGGTGCAGTGGAGGCCTCTCTCCTGGGCTCGCTGTGAGGTTACGTGAGCTGATGCATACTGAGCCGCACGGCCCTGCTCTGTGCCTCTGCTACTGTAACAACTTAGCTGTTAAGGCCCTGCCAGTGCCGGCTCCTTCTGCAACTCTCACCCTTTCCATGCAGTCCTTCTAGTTGCCCATTCGTTCTCCCCACAAACCCCATGTCTCAGCTGGGGCCCTGGGAGCCTGTAGAGACTTCAGTGCAATCCAAAAGAGACGCTATCTGGGCAGCTGCTACCACCGTGATGCGTTGCTGGGAGGGAGGATGGTGCCTTTTATGCCGCTCTTTCCTCCATGTGTGGCTCGCTGGATGGGGCAGCTTGGACTTCAATGCCTTCCTCCTTGTCACCTGGCCTAGGTGCTTTTGCACAGTGCACCAAATGTACAGCTGTACACAGTGTCCTCAAACAGAGCCATTCAGTTCACCTGTGCCTGAGCAGGTCCTTGCCCTGCTGTTGTGGGGTAAGTCGACCCATGCAGTATTTTCATGCCCCCAAACCCCTTGTCCTCTTACATTTAACAGTTTTACAGCTTTTCCTGTTATTTTAATGTTTTGAGCCACATTTAAAGGACAAGGACAACGGCTTTTTCTCACCTTGCTCCATTTCTAGCATAGATCCAGGCCCAGCATTATCATCCAAATAATTTTTTTTAATTCCTTGATAACCTTCTCAACTTTCAAAGAACTTTCAGAAACCAGCTCATTGAATATACCCAGCAGCCCTACAAGATAAGGGTTCTTTTCTTTTATGGAAGGAAACTAAGGTTTGGAAAGGTGAAGCACACAGGCAGGTACATTCCTAGAACTTTGTTGGTAGTTGGCGATTCCCTTTGTTACTAAAAGTCTTAAATAGATTTAAAGCTAAATAGCAGGTTTTTCTGAATCATGTGTTACAGTTACCATGCTAATACTTAGGTAACTAAAGTAGATTTCTATAGGGCAGCCAAAGTAAAAATACATCCATTTAGCTTTGAATGCCACCTATTATAAGTGTATTTACGTATTGCATGGATTTATTCGGAAATATTAATGCTGCATAATTGAAGCCTAATACTGTACCCTCGAGCCTAGGCTGGAAAATAAATGATTCTTTCTCCCCCCACCCTCCACACCTGTCCAAGTTAATTTTTAACCACTAGTGCATTGCAAAACATTCATCCTGAAGAGCCTGGTTCATTAATCTTGTTTTAAATGCTCTGGGCTTGGTTTTCAAGCAGGACTAAAAGCAAGCAGCAGTAAAGCAGAGGGAAGTGACTTTCAAAGAGTTTTATTTTTCTCTGATTTATTTTTTATTGGGTTTAAAATGCGGTCTGACATTAGAAGGTTGTTTCAAAGGTGAGAAATGAAACCTTGAAAGAAATG